TAAAGCCCTTCAAATGGAGTCATTCATGTGGATTGGTGATACGTAGTGATATACCAGAGTTCAACCTATGATAGAAAATTGATCAATCAGAAAAGAAACCTTGAAAATATGAACAAATTAAATAGAGAAGTAAATAAGAAACATTGAAGATAGATAGATTAGTGTTTTTTTGGTTAAGTAAAAGAAAATTTTAACAGAAAAACAGCAGCTAGTAAAAGCTCTAGACGACCCCATAGAGAAGAGAAAATTTCAACAATGTCAAATAGTAGGAAAAGACTGAAAAAATCACCCTTTTAGCTCAAGTTCACCCTTTTTCTTTCCTGCTGTACTTAGTGTTTCAGAACCCCATTTGCTTTCCCTTTTTTTCAAATATTGCAGCATGTGTGCATCATGTAAAAGGTGTACTTCTTAATTTTCTTTAATTATATTTAAAACTGTTTTAGTCAAGTACAGTGTTTTAACCTTCTCCGTTAATGATGTACTATGTGTAAAAAAATCCCTTGAAATAGAAACAAAAGTGGGTTTGATATCTCACATTCAACTGAAATGGAAGATGGTTTTTCACTTTTCAATTAGTTCTTTTTCAATTAGTTCGTACGGAATATTTTTTTTTGCAATAATATTAAAATTATTTTCAGCATAAGCATTTTAAGTCTTCTTAACACATTAGTCAATGCTCTACAAAAATGCATCTTAACCTTCTTTGATTAAACTCAAAAAACTCCAAATTAGTAAATCATGAGATAAGTTGTACATGAAATAAATAATTAGGGAGTCGTAAATTTAATCCTTATTGAATCTCAGTGTATATAATCTTTCATAATTTAATCTCAGTGTATTTTGCTGTAAATTGAAATGTATAGAACAACCTGGTTAATCCTTATTAATATCATAGAGTTTGAATGTGATAGTGCCAAAAATAATATGTAACAAAGACCTGTTAAGTTAGGGCCATGTTAGCAACGTAGGAAAGAAGGGAGTATAATCCCAGCTGATAGGGAAACAAAAGTTATTAACCATCACAGAAGCTGAGAGAATCTCGGACCCAGACATATTGGATGTGGGTATTGACATTTCAACAATCTGAAAAGGACATATCTCCCTAAAGATATAAATGTGCCAAACAGAAAAAACTATTAACCAAATAGAAGTTATAAGTTTCCACGCGGGATAATATGGTCAAATTTTTCCTACCGTGGCGTTTAGATCAGCTCTCTTGAGTTTCTAAGAAAGCTGGACTACTTTTCCTCATCAGTCAACTTTCATCAACCAAAAATCCAATGTTCGGCTGCAAAATAAAACTCAATTCTTGAAATGATAATAATAAAAGAAAAAATGGATAGCATAACTAAGATAAACTTCCTAATTCATTTACTATCTATGTTCTTAGTAAAACTTCATTTTCTATTAACTGATACTACGTAGTAAACAACCCAGTACATGTTGGTAGTGCATAAAACCAATAGAGATTTGAAATACATGTTGGTAGTGCATAAAACCAAAAGAGATTTGAAATTTATATATATACTATATAACTTTTTCATAAGCCCACACCAAAATCTTTTGGGACTAAGACTTGAATGTTTTTGTTGTATATAACTTTTTCAGAAAAAGTATAGTACTCTAAGTTCATTTTTTTGGTTCATAAATTCCAAAGTGGTCTTCTTATGCAATTATACTTAGGGGTGGGATTTTGGAACCGGGAACCGTAGAACCGATTGGAACCGAACCGTTAACAACATCTAGGAACCGAACCGTTAACAACATCTAGGAACCGAACCGTTAACAACATCTAGGAACCGAACCATTACAATTAATGTCTCATTTGTAGGAACCGAACCGAAAAGGGTTATAACGGTTCGGTTCCCGGTTCCTATAAAAAATATGTGCATGGAACCATTAAGGAACCGTTATTAAAAAAAAAACAATAGTAGTAGTAGTAGTAACAACAACAACAACAACAATAATAATGATAATAATAATAATATAGCAATAATAACCACCACCACAACAACAACAATAATAAAACAATATAAGATATTTAACTAACAATTCTAATTTAATCAACGGAAAAGAAGTAATAAATATTGTATATGAGGTTGATATAATACATTAAACTCCTTTCTACAAATCAAGTTTTGTTCCATCACATAAAATTTATAAATATATAATAACCCAAATAACTTGTAGTTGATTGCACATATTTTACTTTACTATTTTCATGATATTTCTAATTATTAGATTTATTATGAATCAATAGAATGTAATAATGTTTTTTATATCTATACATGCAAACTCAATGTCTTTTTTTTTTATGTTTTGAAAGACTTGAAGTAGGCGTCCTATACTCCTATTCTTGCTACTATGATGACGAGTAATCTTCATCGCTCCGACACTACAACAATTTTTAATGTTTGATTTATTACATGAAAATTTAAATCACTTTTGTTCTATTAAGTGTTCAAAGTTTATTAGTTAAGTTTGAGCTTTGATGTTTGAAGTGATTAGAGCTTCAAATAAAATTTTAATACTCGTGTTTTGAATATATTTTCGACGTGTTTAAAATTATGTTTTAATTCTTAGACGAGAAAAATTATTCTAGGAACCGGTAAAAGGAAGAACCGAACCGTTTACTACCAGTTCGGTTCCATAACGGTTCTTGATTTTTAATATAGGAACCGAACCGATTTCGTTAGTTAAAATTTTTATAACGGTTCCACTCATTTTGAGTAAGAACCGAACCGGTCCCAACCCTTATTTATACTACTACCTTCGTCCCCAAAAAATTTGCCATTTCATAAAATTTGAATCATGGTCTTGATTAGTATATTGTTATCGAAATTATAAATTTTATACTTTCACGAAAGTACTTTGAACAAAGAACATTTTCATGTAATTTATGTATTATAAATAATTTCCAATAAAAATATATAGTTTGTCAAAGTTTTGAAAATGACAAAAAGTTTTTTGGGACGGAGGTAGTATATTGTAACATCATATAAACTCCTACCATGTCCGATATAAATAAACAAAATTGAAAATAGAGGAAAATTATAGAAAGTTGTAAATTAACTTTCAAAAGTCGAAATATAATCTGAACATATAAGTGTGACTAAAATTTTTCTTGAAACTCACGCAGGAAAAAAGTAAACAAAAATGGCTATGTGAACATTCCGGGTAGATTTGAAAATGATCCTTTTCTCCTACTATTCAGTTTTGGGCAGTTTCCAGAGTTTCAATGAAAGAACCAATCTGAAATAAGGAAATAGAGCCTACATGAAAGGGGATATAATGGAGTATGAAATTGAAAAATTAGAAAATGAAAATAAAGAATGAAGAATATGAGTACATTGTCCCAAACCAGATCTCCAGGCCAGTTGATGACTCACGGGGTACTTAACATAAAATACTTTCCAGATGAAATCATACATGCTTGAAACCTAAATACCATCCTAACTGCAATGGAATATCCTCCAAAAAGAAAGCTATTGGCAATTTTAGTACTTGCAGATAAAAGAAGCTTGTCAATGGAGTTTTGGCTCTAGAATTACTTACATTAGATGGTGAAAGGAGATTTACAACTTTACTGAATACATTATCAACTCGATCTTTCTTTAAGCTTCCTTAACTTGCTATTCCATAAACTGAGTTCATCTCTAGGCATAGTCCATAGAAGTTCACAATTGGCCACAAATCAATGATACAACAGGCACAAGATAATGCTACCACACACTCCTTCGTAATTCTGCAAAAATACAAGCAATCGATAAGATGTATATACTCTTGACTCTCGGCTCTGTTTTTCATTTCATGCCATTACTATATTATGAGGTCATAGGTAATGGAGAGAGATAGAATGGATTAAAGAAAAAGAATTGAAGAACTGCATCTTTTTTCATCTTGCCATTACTGTGCTCAACCAAAATCAATTAACCTAGAGTAAAAATAAAATCTATTGAAAATAAATTTTAAAAAGTAAACTTGAATGACAGAAATGATTAAATCTTTCTTGAAGGAAAAAATAATTCCTTTGAGCTGAAATAATTAATATTAAATGAAAAGTAAGATACATATTACAATTACAATCAGCCCTAATCTAAGATGATGACAATCCACGTACCCTATTCTGATTATTGCCTTTTTAATATCCAGTGTTCATGTAGAGCTTTGGGAGATGCAAGTGAAGTAAGATCGAAGAATAAGTAAAGTAGTAAACTAATAGAGATGAAGATACTGAGATACCTATGTAGGATAGAAGGAGATCCTCTTCCATGGAGACCACTCCAGTGGGGGAAGCGATTATTGGATGGAGGAGTGTCGCAAACCCTAGATTGGTACGGAGTATTTCAAAGGGTGAGGAAAGGTAGATGGGCACTTAGTTTAGTACATTAGCATATGTTGAAATCGTTGAAGCCAAAAGCTTTCATTGTGAGAGAGGCGCTGGGAGGCGGGCAATCTAAAGGGAAATTCACACAAGGTGAAAGATGAGCAGATGAGATCGAGATTCAACCCAAACAGTCTAAGAAACGTCTCAGAATTTAGCGGATGAGAAGAGTTCGAGAGTTTGGCATGAGTAAGCAAAGCTTCGTGGAATTACGCAAGTGCCCCTAAAATTAGGCGGGATCCTCACTTACTTCGATTAATAGATATATAGATATGGATTGTACTCTTGAATGAAATAAAGCAGTACTCCATAACTATAAGTAATTGTTTGAATAGACAATATTATTCACCCACGTATATACGATAATGCGACAATACGAAATTACCAATAGTACATATGTCAACTTTTTTCATTTTTTATCCATTAATTCTATTTGCGTAATACTTTATTTCAATATTGTGTGTAAAATAACAATTATTTTGTTGTTGAAAATGTAAGATACATATTTTGTTCATTGTTTCAAAGAGTTATTTATTATTACACGCGCCAGAAAATAGCTGCAAAATCGTATAGCAGGGGTCGTTTTATTAAATTATTTTAGATAATAACGACTAACGGCAACTGAAAGAAGAAGAAGCAAACTGTAAAGTGTAAAGCTAAATAAAAACGGATCTTTTTGCGCATATATTTACTCCATAACTTGAAAGCTCACTCTTCATATCGCTCTGCAGAATTTCAATCATTCAATAATCATCAAGATTCAAGAAACCAGCTGAAAATTAATCGGATTGAAGATGCTCTGCTTTCATCAAGAGAAAGAAGATGGTGAATCAGATATCCTCAAGGGACAGAATCATCAAGAGGGAATATCAGCAGGCAGCAGATTTGAGACCGGCGCTATCCATCACCTCTCCCTGCTCCACCTCAACTCCGCCGCCAAACGCCGCTGCGCCTCCACTGCAGCCGAGAACTTCACCTCATGCGGCGCCTCTGCGAAAAGGTCACCGCCCTCTTTCCTTTCTTCTCTCCCGGAGCCCTCCCCGAAACGGGCAACTCTGTTCCCACCTTCCTTCTCCCCCGCCACCGCCGCCGCCGCCGCCGGCGGCGCTATCTGCTCCAAACCGCAGTCTCCCCTTCTCTACAGGAGCCTATCGGAGCCAATAGATTCTCTTGCTTTTCAGAATCCCAAAACGGTAGATTTCGGTTCCATCATCCCTTTCACCCACTTCTTGAATTCGAATTCGCCGGAGAAATCCAAGAACGCCGGCGCCGTTTACAAACAACCTTCACCGGCGAAGAGTTCTGGTTTCTCCCCGCTTCCGCCGCCGTCTCTTCCTCCTCTCTACAGATCCATCTCGGATCCATCTGTCGCTATAGAGTTCCAGCCGCCGCCGCAGCAACAAGCTGCCACTCCTCCGAGGGCTGCAAGGGCGGCCCAAAACGTCAAATCCCCTCCGAACTCCGGTGATGACAGTCCCAGCACAAAGGTCGAATCTTTTTACCAACTCCATCTTTGAACAATTTAATTAAAACGACCCATTATTAGCGATTGATTGTTTTTCATTCGTTCATTCATTCTTGGACTGATAACTAATTGCAGAGGCTGGAAAAGATTAAGGAAAGGATGAGACAAATGCGGCAATGGTGGGATCAAGTTTTGCAAGAAGAAGAAGAAGAGGTCAATGAAGAAGACCACCCTTCTGAAGATGACACCTCAAAGGTCTTTAACCTGATCATATACAAATGTTATCAATTTGACATATTCATTGATAATTTTTTTTAATACTTTCTGGTTCTATTGGAAGGAAGCTTAATAATGGGAATTTAAGGTTTGGGCATATCCTAGATGGAACAGTCATTTTCAGTCAATACTGTTAAAAAGATGCAGTAAAGTTAGAGTTAAGTTACTGATTGGGTATGGTTTTTGGGTGCAGATTGAGAATGAACCAGAGGACAAAACGGCGTCGTCCCAGCCGGAAGAATCAGTGTGGGTGGAGGAGAAAGGTGGGGAGGGGTTGGTGATCCACTTCAAATGCCCATGCAAGAAAGGCTATGAAATCCTTCTTTCTGGCAACAATTGCTACTACAAACTCTTGTAGACTGTGTCATGATATTTTTTAACTTTAGCTTTTGCTGTATACCAAACCAGTTATTTTAGGTCTGTTTTAGGTTTTGTTGACAAATCTGTTTTTAGCCCTCTACAAACCAATTATTTTGTGTCATTTTTTGGGTGTACAGTTTATGATTTTGCCCTCTAGTATCAGTAGTGTGTTAATATGTGTGGACGTGGGTTTCATGTGCCTTTGTGATGCTTTAAATTGCGTGCGACCATAAGTGTTTAAATCGCTTCAAATTTGGGGTTTTACCATTATCCTTAAAAGTGAATTTTTCTTAATAATAATAACGAAGATCAAGAAAAAGATATCTTTGGAATATGTAATGTGAGAATATAGGTCGGTATAATAACAACAATTGACATTAAGGGTGTGTTTGAAAAATAGCGTTCAAACAAAAGAATAACGATTTGATCATTTGGGCGAAACCATTGAAACAAAAACGTTAGATTGGATTTAGTATTACTTCAAAAGAACTAAATTATTGAACATTTGTTTCGAATATGCCAATTTATTTCACTAGTCAAATTAAATCTCCTAATTTAATATGCTATGAACAATCTGCTAACATAATTCACTAATATTCAAACACACCCTTAGTAAAAGTATAAAAACCGTTAAATACATATGAAGAACTTGAAACATCTGTAATTCAAAGGGGCATATTCCAATAAGATCAACAAAAGAAATATAGTCTGTCTGTGTGTAGCATTTGTAATACGAGAACTTCGAATGATATACTACCTTTGTTTTTTTTTATTTTCACAGTTTGACTTCATACAAAATAAAGAAAGAAATTTGACTTTACTGTAGAGTACACTGTTGATGCACTGTTTGACATTGTTTGGCACTGTAGAGACACTGTTTGACACTATTGAGACACTGTTTGACACTGTTTTGATATAGATTTCTTTGCCAAAAAAAGGAAATAAGAAAGTGTGAAGTTTATTTTAGACCGTCCCAAAAAGGAAAGTGTGAAGTTTATTAAAAACCGGAAGGAGTAATTAATTGAAGTCTAATAGTAATTAATAGTAATTAATTGAAGTCTAATAGTAATTAATAGTAATTGAAGTTTATTTTTCACATATATTCACACTAATAGTAATTAATTGAAGTCTAAATTTTCCTCTCATAACTAAGTGAATATTGATGAAAAAGATTAGCTTTGATGCATGTATTGATTTAGTCAAAAGTTTTATTTTGTCATAAATGTTCCTAAAACATCTGTAAACTTACGAATCTTGAAATTTCCTATTACTATAATATAAGATTATAACTTTATAAGAATGAAAAATACTTCCTCCGTCTCTAAATAATTGCAACACTTTCCTTTTTTGGCAGTTTCAAATTAGTTGCAACACTTCTATTTTTGGTAAACAAAATAAATACAATGTCTATAATACCCCTAATCATTTCATAGCTACCTTTTCTAATTTCTCTCTCCCACTCCGGTCTCCCATTACTCCCTTTCCCAAAATTTCTTGCCATCCACCCCATCGGTTGTCTTCCTCCCTATACATTATGTCTCTTTCTATTCTAACATGCCCACACCTTGTTTACTCCTTCAGCCAGCCTTCACCATCCCAGATAATTCAGTTTTCATTTTTTTAGCTTTTCCCACAAAATGGAGATTTGGAGAGATCTGGATTTAAACGAGGGGCTGAGCATCCCAAGAATCGTGTTCAACAGGTCGTGCTGCTTCTCCTTAATCTGCTCAGCTAAGATCATGGCATACAAGGTTCAGGGGTGGAGTCGGACACAGAGATGTTCACCGTCGCCGGACTTCCAGCACCTTAAAATAACAAGGTTTCAGTTTTGCAAAGCTCGGGTCAAAGGGTGCGTGGTGGAACCGAAAGAAATCAAAAGCCAGGCTCAGAAAGAGGTTACGGAAAAGCTACTCCGGGCGATGAAATGAGGTCACGACCTCATCATGAACAGCTTCTACTAGACGGAGCCGGAATTCGTGGAAGAGTAATTGGAAACCTCTCCTATTTGTAATCTGAAAAGCTCTGAAAAGCAGTACTGTTCTTGTACAGTGACATGTCTATACCTTTTATCTACTTCAACCCAAAGCGTAGTACCGAAGGGTATAATAGGAAGGAAATCACTTTATTTACTTTTCTTAAATCCTGTGCCTAAACTCATGTTGCATCTATTGTGAGACGGAGGATAGTAGTAAAGAGTACAAAGTGTTCGCTTATCTTAACTTTTATAGTAGTCTCATAATTAAACTTCACAAGTAGTTACTGCTACTGCATACATTGGTCATTGGAGGATCATAATAAACCTTTGATTGCATGCCTAAATTTTCCAAACTTATTGTGCCGGCCTCTTGTTTCGGTATTATACATATATTTTTCATTTTTCTCTTGATTAAAAGATATAAAAATTTACAATTGATTATAACCTAGTTTTGGGATCGAGGCTGTGGAGATAAAAAGTCATTTATCAAAACGAGTAAAAATATCTATGACGGAGTATAAAATTGCATGGATATAATGCTTTTGAAAGTTCTAAAATGTAGTGATTGTATACCAAATGTGCAGATTTCTTTTATATAAATTTATGATGATTTTTTATTGTATTGGTATTAACTATTAATGGCTAAACACTTTAATTATTATTTCAATATTGGTGGCTGTGAATAACAAAAAGATCGAATTATGGGCGGCAGTATTAGAACTCTTCTCTTCTTCCCGTGTTTCGACGCGGCTAAAAGAGCACGAACGACGCAACTAAAAGAGCACAAACGACGCATCAAAGCATGTAACAGGTTCTACATCTTGTTCTATATTTCATCAGCTCTCGAAGATTCTATATCTGATTGTATTCGTTTTGTGCTATGACGGTTCTTTCCTGGGCACTGACGCTCTGAGTTGTTTTATCTCCTCGGTGTGGGGAGTTGTTTTGATGTCCCGACCAGCTTCGGCTTGTCAGGGGTTTCCATCTGCCTTCTTTTGGGTTGTGTAAAAGATAGTAGAGCTCGTACTCTTTTAGAACTACCTCTATGCCAAGAAAAGTTTTGTGAAAAAACATTATTTCAATTTTATTTTGCTTTAGTAGTACTTATTTTTATTTTATTTCGAGTAAATTTGTTTTGGATATTTAGATGTCTGAAATACCTTTTGATAGACATTTTCGACTGTTTTAGGCATAAATTTTTCAGTTTTGTTTCTATCAAATCAAGCTACTTTATATAATGTAACTAATTCTATATCTATTTATAAGACTTTCAATTGTCATAGTTGTATGATTGTTGTGTTGTCATAGTTGTATGATTGTTGTGTTGTAAGAGTATGATTTTTTAATATTAATATAAAAATTCGCTCTTTATATTAGTAAAAACAATAACACTCCGTAATTATCTCTTTGAAGCTTGTAGAGTCAAACATTTGATATATGCAGAGCCCAAAATTTCAGCCCAAAGCGGTGCATAGGAGAACCTCTCTGTGACAAGGAAGCCGAGACCGCCGCCTTCAGTCCACCGGCAACGATCATCTCTCCCGGTTACATTCTTCCCAGCGGCCCTCTGCTCTCGGCGGAGAAGACTCTAGGTATTCCACTCTCATCTTTCTCTCTATTGCATTTCTGCTTTTATTGGTTCGTTTGGTTAATTTTATACTTGTATGGGTTTATCAGAAGCATTCTCATCCAGCTTCAGTTCATCGGTTAAAATCAAAGGCCAATACATCCAATGAAACACCCCTTTAACTGATCTAGCTACTTCTTCCCTCAATCCTTCTTAGGGTTTCATTTCTCTTTTCCTCCAAAATACGAAAAAATACAAAAATTGTTCAAATTTCTCATAATATGATTGACGCCTCTTTTGTTTCCTTTTCGAAAATGGGTCTAGTGCTTCAACAAGCTCACTGTTACCGCAAAAATTTACATCCTTTTAGCTAGTGGCCTATCTAAGAATCTAGGATTTTCTTTGAGTGAGCAAATTTACACTAGGAAGGTTGTTATCTTACACATTTCAAAATATAAAAATAACTACAAGTAACAACACTTATTAAAAAGATATTATAACGTTTTTTACTTTGCGTTTCTTCTATAAAATATCTTTATATTCCTTTTACAAATACTTTTTATTGCTTATGTAACTTCACATTTATAGTACTCCCTCAACTTTTCTTGATTAACACGGTTTCGTTTTATTTACATATTTAACATTTCAAAATAGTTAACTTTGAACTAATAAAATTGATTTAACTATTCGCAGGGATGCTTTAATTTTATCATCATTCAACCTTAAAAACCTCGAATGAAAATCAATTTTGGACAGATGAAACAAGAAATATTAATTTTATATAATTTGTACATTCGGGAAAATTTAAAATTTTGTTAGTAGTCAGTAAATTACATTACATACTAAATGATATAAAAGATTAAGACTAGACCTAAACAAAGTATCCAAAATTAAGGAAGATTAGGACAAGTTTTAAATGGCAAAAATGAAACAAATAAAACCTTCCAATTACTGGGAATCGAACCTGCGTCAAAGCATCAACTAAACAAATGCAGCACTACTACCACTCTACCAACACAACTTCTACCAACACATTAACTTGTTACCAAATGCATATTCCTTGTATTTATACATATATTAAGTGCATGTGCATGTACATACACAAAACATCACACACACACATTGGGGTTGAGGGGGAAGCTGCCCCCACCCTAGATACGCCCCTGCTTTTGGCTATGTTGTTTCAGCATGTAATAACAGGCATATTTGATATCCCGTTTCGTTGTCATTGATACTATTATTATCAGTGATGATGCTACTATTCCATTTTTGGACTCATGGTAGACATTTTAGTGCTCTTTGACCAAATCTAATTAATCGAAACAAAAATCTAATCATATGCAATTTGGTTTTGTTTGACAATGATTTTCCGCACCGTATTAACCTAACTGCCTAAAACCCACCCGAACAAAAATAAATACCACAAGTTCTTTATAAATTTCTATAATATCAACTATCACCAATAATAATTCATTCTATTCTAATACTCTGTATGTCATTAATTTATACCCCAACTATTCAAATACATAGTATATAACAAAGATAATACTAAGAAACTATTTTACTTCAAATACGGCCATTGAACCTATCAAAATATTATATATCAACTATCAAATGAACTTTATTTGATGATTTGGTATAAGCTTTTGATGATTTTAATCACCGAACTGAGGTCAGGAAGTGTCTCACTATCAATTTTTTATATATTTGAATAGTTCAGCTTTGAAATTGTTATTTCTATAGTACTCGTATGTAGTATTAGTAATTTACCGGAATACCAATGATAGTTGATATTATTTAAAGTTATTATCCAATAAATTAAATAAAAAGGGAGTAATTGACTGCACCCCATGTTTTGGGTAATATGTGACTTTACACCCCATTTTTAAAATCATTAATGTATGCATTCCAGCAGCCCAAAAATTGTGAAGGAGTGGGGTGCAAAATCACAAGACTTTATAGTGAATTTGGGTGCATACATTAATGATTTTGAAAATAGGGTGCAAAGTCAAATATCACCTAAACCTAAACCATGGGGTGCAAAGTCAAATTCTCCCAATAAAAAACTAAGAAGTGTTTGGTTCGAGTTATCTAAGATTCTTTGGTAAGGTTAGAAAGCTAATGTTATATGCAGTATTAACTAGTTTTGTTGGTCATGTTCTACAACAACGTCCAAGCCTAAGTTCCAAAAGAGATTGGTGTCGGATTTGGTCATGTTCTACTATTCTTATTAATGTATTCTTGTATTTTTTATTTAGACATATTACATTTTTGTTATACCAGTAATACCACCTAAATGCACCAATTAACCTTAAATTTCTATATTCTCAAATTACCTAGGCAATCATATTATCTGCATTTTTTATATTCTTGCAATCTGACATGACATTCCCTGAGATAATCACATAATTAAGGTGATATTACATTCCGCTAACCAAACCTAATCCAATTCGAAGTTACCATAGTTTATTTGAATTTGGCAATCATTTGCTTTAAAACAAACAGAAGAATACAAAAAGACTAAACCTAAACATTGCTGGTCAGGATGGAAAATTTAGGGCCAGCGGCAGATGATGAAGTTCACCCAACTAGGATCCGTGTTCGCCCAAATAGGAAGCCTCGCATTGTGATAGAGGACTACATGCCTGCGCTGGGAGCCTACCTGCCAAGAGAAACAGAGCCAGTTGATGTCAACGTGATACGTGAAATCAATGCGAGGTTGACTTCAGTTATGGAAGACGTGAGAGTGATGAAGAGGAGGCTGACTCGCATCGTGATCTTACAGCTGCTCTGCTTGATGGTTGCAATATCTGGTTTGCTTGTCAAACTCTTCAGTAGGAAGTAGTAAATAAAAGAGTAAGTAATAGTCCTCTTGTATCATATGTATAATCTCAGTCAAATGAGGTATTCCTGTAAACCTGGAAGTGTTCCTGGGGCTAGGATGTATTTAATATGGCGAAACCCGGGGTGACCTGTTATGTAATATGACTATCTTCTTCTAACTGTTGCTTTTTGCTGGCTGGCTGGCTGGCTGGCTGCTTGCAATTAGATAAAAAAGTGTCTGAACTATGGTTGTGGCCCTTCTGTATAGGTGAGCGTTTGACCACGCAGTTGTGCTATTTGTAAAACAAATTAGTACACCAACTTGTTCACCTGCTCAAATTGAAATCATTTTTGCTGTCAAAGGCTTGCCTATGGAAATAATAATCTTGTAGTATGTGCAAGTTAGTGTACAACTTTGTTATTTAAAGAACATTTTTCACTTTCTTCATTCATGTTATTTCAAATAGTTATTTTGCCTACCAAATTTTAACTCGGTGATTTTTGTAATGTGCTGGCATTAGCTTCCTAGTGACATCTAAAATAAATAGGAGAAAGCTATTTGTACACATAAGTGATACATGTTTCTGTACACAGGCAACTAGGAGAGGCAACTAGGAGTGTGTTTAAGAAATGTGTATAACTTATATGTACAAGTAGCACCTCCCAAATAAATAAAACGGGGGAACTTTAGCACATTAGCCATACAACTCTTTCACAATATCGACATATTATAATTAAGTCTCATTTTAGCAAATAATAATCCAAATACAAGCAGTCAAGACTAGAGCAATTGTTTTTTATATACTACGTACATAAAGAACACCAAATCAAACCTAAACCGGCTAAACATATACCACCTATAAGTTATAACATGACCAACTTTGTAACTGTTCCACGTCTAAGGAAAAATCTGGAAAGTTTAAAACATGTTTACAAATATAAAAATATTCATATTTTTGAAAATTGTAAAACTTTTGGAAACATTCTTTTAAGTCAAAAACTAAGTTCGAAAATTGGGTTGTTAGATATATCAATATAAAAAGAATAAGTGAGTAGAATAAAAGTAAATGTCTAGATGATAACATATCATTACCTCTTGTACTTGAATGAACATGATAAATTTAGAAACAAGAATCTTACATTTAGACTATTTAGTTACGTGATCTTATTTATCAGCATATTAGCATATACTTCCTCCGTTCTTTTTTAGTTGCAACATTCCTTTTTTCACGCTTGTCGATGCACAATTTTGACCGTCATTATATTTAATTCTCTATTTCTAAAAAACTTTTAAAAAATAGATTATGAAACTTTGTAATGAGATGAATTTAACAATATTTTTCAAAAAATAATAATTCACATACATTAATAAATTAAATGTAGTCAAAGTAAAGTACATGAATAGTGTGTAATTTCCAATGTTGCAACTATTATGATACGGAGGATAGTGTATATATATATATATATATATATATATATATATATATATATATATATATATCAAAGCCATTATGTGTGCGGTGTACATATCAATGCTTGCACCATCTCAAAGTCAAATAAACATTTAAAGGGATTCAAAATTCACCCATGAGTGCTAATTAATGCAGACCAATAGTCTACACTTGACACGAATATACTTGCAATAATGAACGACTTTGTAGTTGAATCGAATCTAAAAAGTATGAAATATCTATTGACCTCGCCCTCGTGGTGAACTTTCCGACATTTACCTCGCCGTCGTGGTGAATTTTCCGACATTTACTTCGCACTCGTGGTGAATTTTCGGGGGGTGGGGGGGGGGGATATTGACCTCATCGGTAGCCACAACTACAGTTCATGTCTTGTAAAGGGCAGTTCATTGCAAGAAGCAGGAGCAAGCCTTCTATCATTTTTTTTATGACAAGAATGCTGAAAACAAACACTATGAAATTTAATATGTATGGAATTGCATTTCACACTGAACTTTTATTGGTATGATGTAATGATAAATCACTATTTTGAAAAACAGTTTAGCATTTTCTTCAATGACTATAATATAATGGACTTAGGGCTGGACTCGGGCCGGGCGGCCCGACCCGGGACCGAACCGGCCCGGTCACTGTTTGGCCCGGCCCGGCCCGTGGCCCGGTGGGTCCACCGGTTCGGTTTGGCCCGGCCCGGGTGCTGGGCGGTCCGGGCTCGGGCCCAGGTTTTGGTGAACCGGCCCGGCCGGTTCGGGCCCGGTCCGGGCCGGATTTTAATTTTTTTTTTTTTTTTTTGAAATTTTTTTAAGTTTTAGGTTGGATTAGGTATTTTGGGCCATTTGAGGTGGTTTGGGATGGTTTGGGGTTGAGGGGGAGGGGTAGGGGATTAAATAGGAGAACAAAAAAAAATTAATTGGGCCGGTTCGGCCCGGCCCGGTTTGGCCCGGAACCGGCCACCGGCGGTTCGGGCTCTTGCCTCCCCTTTCCTGGCCCGAGGCCCGGCCGGGCCCAAGCCCGAACCGGGCCGAGTCCAGCCCTAAATGGACTAATACCCCGACTTTCATTCTCTCTAAAATATGAAAATATATTTTTCGCCATTGTCTTAAAACATATCAAATTCATTTTGAACTTTTATGGACTACAACGTTATATAGGTGCATTCCCACCTTGTAGCTACATTTAAAAATAAATTTTCCTCTATAAGAAAAAATTTCTTGCTTCAAAAGTCCAGCAAGAGAAAATTGATTAAACCTTATAGGATTAAGAATAACATGCACAAAATGATGTAAATATGATATGCTTGAGTAACATTTATCATGTTAAGTGATCGATTTGATGGAGTGTATGATCATATAATGCTCGCATGGATTGAATTTTGACATTGAATGTACGATCAGCATTTTGCATCTTGATGAATTGATGTACGAGATTCGAGACATAGTTTCGGCATAATTGGTTTCGACTCATCGGCTTCAACAATCAGATAACTCAACTCGAAGCTATTGAGACAGATCATATATTTTCTATTTTACACATGTAAGATAATAAGTGAAGGTAATTTTAATGTATCAATCTACTTTCATCTCAACTTAAACAAACTTCTACCCTATGGCTTAATATGTATCCGAGATCCGAGTTTATCGATCTAGATTAATCTTATACTTTCACTAAAAAAATGTTATCATCAAATCCAACAAATCCATTAAATCAAAATAATGTTCGTCACATGGCTGATAATACAATCAAATAACAAGAAATAAACAAAGCGATAAAAAGTCTTATCATGTATGTCGTCCGCCTTCGAACCAGACTTAGAATATATCACCTCTGTAGAAGCAATAATATTCGCTGATCCTGTAATGGTTAACTGAGTCAATGACTAGCAAACCACTCATCACCTGACTTAAAATCTAGAATCTATCTGCTAGAAAATAAGAACACGTCCAAAACAAAATGCAATTCGAAAGAAAAACACAAACAAAATAAAATGGAATTAAAACAGAGTTCCCCAATCTTCTTCCAAACCCAACTTGCTTGCATTCCATGACGGCGGCTCAGGAGTGGAACGCGCCCGCCGCTCATCCGCCTCAATAGTCATCCTTTTGTATTGAATGATGATATCATCCTTTGACGTCCCTTGCTGCTGAATCGAAAACATATTCCGCCACAACTTATCCACCTTTTATTTGTCAACACTTGACTTTCGACCAGAAACAATAGCAGAAGTCGAGCCATGACCGGCAAAGCACTGCATCCTTGGTCCTGAGCCTGCTTGCACGATCGAAATCTACCGACGGCCGCTCTTCTTCGATGACAAAAGCGGAAGAAACAAAACCCTAACTCATAGGGAGATGGCCGCTAGAGAGAAGACTCACCAATTTCAACAATTGGCCCTAAAAATCCAGCCCAGCTCCTTAACAAAGGACGATAGCGGATAAATTCAGGCCAGGGATTACCTTGTGGCAACCCTAGAGAGGGGTAGAAAATGTAGAATGGTAGATCGTTCCATACTTTTACTAGATCTAAATTTACTTCATTTATTTTGTCGCTATAAAAAACTACAAAAATTCCTTTTGTACACGTTTTTGTACCCATCAGTACACGCATGTGTCTGTGAGAGTTTTTTTTGTCTGTGAAGTGCGGTCCACAGACAAAAACTGGTTTGTTTTGTCTGTGAAATTTTCCACAGACAAAACAAGCGAACTTATGTCTGTGGACCGCGCTTCACAGACAAAAAAAAACTCTCACAGACACATGCGTGTACTGATGGGTACAAAAACGTGTGCACCAAGAATGGTTGAAAAAACTATCACTAACGCCCATCCGAAACCTGTTGTACACGTGTAGATTCATTTTAACGTGTACTTCCATGAAATCCCCTCCCAGTCTGAGCAGCTCACTGCCATAGCTCTACGAACTTTCATGAATCACCAACTTCCACTTCCCATTTTCAGGAATCACCGATTCTCGAATCTGTCTCGATAACTATTCACCAATCTCTGTTACATAATTTGAAGAAACGGGAGAAAAGGATTCATGAGATGGATTCTTTGATTCAATTTTTCCAACTTTTCCCATCCAACTCCACCTCCGCAGCTGCGGGGGGAGCTCAGATGATCGAGCCCAAACTCGAGCCGCTTGATGAATTCACCCAAGCCGACCTTCAAACCCCAGCGATCTTTCCAAACCCTAGCCCCAGTGGCTCTAATGTCAAATCGAGCTTCAGTTCTGCTTTCAGTCCTAGCAGCCCCCAGGATTTCAATGCCAGTGACGTCTTCCAATCCTCAAAGGACGCAAATGTGTTTTCGGAATTCAGTCGAATTTCTGATATGTTTCTGGGTGCTTTTGCTAAGAAGATGCAGCCATACGGGGACGTGGAGGCTGTGGAGGATCCAGATTCTAGAGCTATTGTGCCCGTAAATGGGGATGCACAGTCATCTAGTTTGGTCATTTCGAAGAAGAAGTATCAGCAGAGGTCGTCTGAGCTGGTCAGAGTGACGGATCTCAAACCTGAGGATGAAAGGTATTTCCGGGATGTGGTTAGGAGGACCCGGATGCTTTATGATTCTATACGTGTTCTGTCTATCCTCGACGATGAGAAGAAACATCAGTTGGACCCTCAAAAATCCATAGGAGAACTGGACGCCTCACAATTGGCTAGAGAGAAGGTTGATATTAACCTGCAATATGAACGTCACAGGAAACGAAGAGGGGACTTGAAGGCGTCGCAGTTGATGAGGGAGAAAGGGCTCTGGTTGAATCGTGATAAGCGTATTGTGGGTAACATACCTGGTGTGCTCATAGGTGATTTGTTCTTTTTCCGGATGGAAATGTGCGTGGTTGGGTTGCATGGGCAGCCTCAAGCTGGAATTGACTATGTTCCCGCTAGTCAGAGCTCAAACAAAGAGCCAATTGCCACTAGCATCATAGTTTCTGGGGGGTATGAGGACGATGAGGATGCAGGGGATG